AAAAAAAAAAAAAAAAAAAAAAAAAAAAAAAAAAAAAAAAAAAAAAACACACACACACACACACACACACACATAGTCCTTCATTAGTACGGCCATTATCACCATGGGATAACCTTGGCCATCTTGCCATAAGCTGTTCACAGGGTCGCTTGTTATGCTCCTTAATAATCCCCAATTATATATTCTAACTCTATATTGATTCACATAAGGATTTGACAAGTTTGACTATATTACTATAAAAAGATGAAGGGAAGTTTTTACTACTATAAATAGTGGCATTCTCAAGTCCGCAAAATCCACTCCAATCCACTCTGAAACTACAATGGAGCAGGTTCAGATAGAAGTTGAGAAAGTCCACAATGGCAGAAAATTATACATGCAGGATCTGCAGTGACTTGGATAATCTAAAATGTGAATAAGGTGATTTAAAGTAAATGGTGTGGATTAGATTTATCTACAGCATCTGATTACAACATGTTACTATAATTGATATCAAGTCTAGATCTTCTGTAATAATGTATAATCCTTAACTCAATGAAACTTACTATATCTAATATTATAACAAGCTTATATACTCCACAACTACATTTATAAAATATATTAATCTAACTGCAGTTTAATTCTTGCTTAATTATATATTAAACCTATAATGCTCTATTTAATTATTTTGAAGATTATATAGAATGCCTGAGATTAAAGTAAGCAATATAGAAAAAGACAATATATTAATTATTAAGATCTAGAAGCTACAAAGCAAAAACTTCAGCAGTACTATTAGAAATTATATATAGCTTTTATAATATTATTTATACTATTGCAACTGTTTTAGATTTATATCAAAAGCTTTTTACATTTTAATCTGACAACTAGATGGAATCAAGATCTAAAGCATTGAGATATGATATAAGATAATGAGAAAGGTCTTTCATTACTATTATAAGTACCTTTCTTAATCTAAAGCTAAGATTACTTATCCATCAGCTATAAGTCATATTGACATTGCCCTTTATTGATTTGAACATTAATAATAAGCTTACTTTCACCTCTAACTCCAATAATGTTGGATCAGCTAAGTACGGAGGTGTGCATATTAAGTCTTACTCGACGCTAGTAATTTTTTTGGTTCTTGGCTGTAATATACGGTCAAGGTAAGTGATTTACATGATAGATCACTTGGCTGGCTGTATACAAGAGCTGCAGAAGAAAGCCATGTCTACCACTCCTAGCCAAAATGAAGCTATTGCTGCCCATAGAGAACCTCCTTGAGATGATTTAAAAGAGGGGGCCATCTCCTAGATCCTGACGCCTAGGGAGCTCTCCCTTTCACCTCTTCCTCTTCCACACCCTATTATCATGGCGCGTAGTCCCTTATATTCATTACCTCCTCATGCTTAATAACCTCCTGGATATGGCGTACTAGGCGCTCTATCCACTGCTTAATATGCTCCTGAGTTAGCTCACTCTATCCATCAATCCATGCCTGTTTTCCAGTCTTCTTATCTCGGGGGGCGCCACAGGAGGTAGTTCGTTGCTTTAGCCATGGCCAGGCTGCTTCTATAGCATTTAGATCAGTGGAATTACCTAGTGGAAGAAGAAGTTAGTACTCATCTAGAAGCAGCAACTGCTTATAGATACAACTGCTTATAGATACAACTGCTTATAGATAACTTACCAGGCCAGTTCATTATCTTCTGCACCCCAAAGATATTATAGCCTGTAGAGTGTCACCGGACGACCCGGAGACCCGCCCCGAACCCGCCCCAAAGCCCAACGGGCTGGGCTTTGGGTCAGGGGTCCTTGGCCTGCGACCGATCACTCTATGCCATGTCAATATGTTGATGTACGGGAATACAAAAGATACTGGACTGACTAGCCATAGTTGGATTAGTGCGTTCCCTGGTTACCTAATATAGTATAGTGCCATCAGCTTCAGGCTTTTGGGCTAAGCCCGCCCCAAAAGCCCGCCGGGCCGGGGCAACGATGGCCATAGCCCGCCCCGAGTGACACTCTACAATGACCTATAAATAATTTATAGGTCATTGCCTGAAAATGATGACAGTGAGCAGGTGCTCCATCCTCTTAGCCTCTAAAACTGAAGTTTTTGGACGCTCAATCATGCATTCTTTAGCAAAGGGAATCAGCTTTGGAACTAGGACTTCCTATTAGATTAAGAAGTTAGCATCTTGATACAGTCATCATATAGAATGGCCTTAAACTTACTTTATTATACCGGTACCAATCTATTCCCCCTTTAGAGTTACGCTCTAAACGGCCATTCTTTTTATTCCAATGCCAGACTGGTTCACGGCCAGGCACATTACCCTAAAGTCTAAGCCTCATTCTTGACAGACCGATACTGAGCTCCCACTCTTGCTTGTAGATTGGCTCTAACTCTCTGTTCAACTTCTCAATCTCCTTGGTAGCTTGCCGCTTCTGCTGAGCAGTCTCCGGAGACCAGATATGAATAGGGCCTTTCTTATCACAAGAAAAGCTAGCCCATACCATAAATCAGAGTTTCCTTTCCAGCGGCGTTGAATGCAGGTAGGATCATTTACCTCATCCTTAGTATGCCATATCCTAACTCCTCCACACTGGTGGCCCAAAGCCACCCGAGGTCTCATCTGTAAATATCACATTCTTCCAGTCTTTATGGGCAAGGCAGAAATCTAGGCATTTTTTTCTGGTTTCATCAGTAAGGCCTGGTTTCTTGGTAGGTTTGACACTGTGAAAGCCATGCTTTTTAAGAATCTTTAAAATAAATGAGGGGGAAATGTCAACTTCAAAAGCAAGGAATTCAGAGGATTTTTCACGTCCAGCATGGTCTTTTCTAATAGAAGAAACAATAGAATCCTCAGTTGATTGAGTGATCTCTTTAGGACAGCCACTGGCCAGGACGGGGGTCATCTTCCACATATTCAGTCAAAATCTGCTGATCTATCTCTGAGTTAAAGCCATGTTCCTTTGCTTTCTTTAACCCAGCGCTTGATAGTCCAGCTAGACATGCCAGTGATAGCTTCAACACGCTGTATAGGTCATTAGAGTAGTAACTGCTTGAACACGGACACCCACAGGATGATAAGACCCACGCATTTTGACTGAATCAGGGGGGGAAGGAGGCAGGTAGGTGATGGAATAGCGCCGAGTAAGACTTAAAATGCACACCTCTGTAATATACTACTGAATTAGAAGCTTAATAAATATTAATCCATTTCATTGCATTTCTATTCTCCCTCTTAATATAATCCAACTATAATTTGTTCTACTTTAGCTATTATGAACTCAACACTATAGATGCCCTTTAGTAGTGGCATGCTAAAATTTATTGATTACTTATTCTAGCTAGAATGATCTATGACTTCCTTACAGTCTCTATTAGTAGTATTAAATCTAAGAATCTTTAGTACTGCCTGTAATATTTATTATTATTATTAGAATTATGTTTGTTATCTTAGACAATTGAAACATATATAATTTAGATGTATAATGATCACTTTATACTGACTGAGTCATAAGTTTAAATTTTTAAGAATAAAGATAATTAACTGTCTTAAGAGACTAGAGTTTAATGAGCCCTTCAAGTCAGAATCTAAACATTATATTAGTGAAATTAAAGATTCTAGTGGCTTTTTAAATAATAATGATTTTTAGTCTGATAATAATCTTTTATTCTTACCTGCACTATCATATTATTATATAGTTATAATTACATTACTAGTTCTATAGCAAGCCTCTACTAAGTAATAACCTCCAGCCTCTATTAAGTAATAATCTCATATAGTTAGATGCTCTGAACACTCATAATTTAGAGGATGGCATTATAGAATTATATATTATTAGTTTAATAATTAAGAATAAGAGTCAGAGGATGAGTTCTTTTATTATTATAATTCATTTTCTAAATTTAAGAGTTTATATAAAAAGGCATAAATGACCAGTAATGCTAATGTATATTATTTAGTTATTCCTTATCTATACATGCAAATATTAGCACAGGAAATTAAACTGCATTTAAAGTATATGTATTTGTATTATCTATAGTCATATTTTTAATACCTTTACATCCTTGAGAATCTCTGTAATATCATTATACTGATTCTTGAGAGAGAAAGCTCTATAGATATATATCTCATTGGAATTGAGAATATCAATATAATTATTAAGAGTTGTAATTATACGAAGTATTTAATAGAATTAGATATTATAAACCATATATTATAAAGTAAAAAATAATTAAGAAAAGAAAGAAACTCAGTAGTATAGACAGCCAATGAGAACCAATATATTTAACGTAATCTATCACCGAGCTGGCCAGCTGGCTGCGCCCGCCGCTGAAAAGTACTATACACTGATTTTGAAGCCTTTCTCCCCACAAAATTGATATATATTATCTTTAAAAACAATAGTCTATTTCTCAGGGCATTTAAGCCGATTATGGCCTGTTATACCACATGTGCTACAGGCTGGTGGCCTACGCGACCTGGAAACTGGCTGGCCGCCGGTGTGCTTCCTCCACTATAGCCTCCTGTTCTTGTGCTTTTTGCAATCGTTGAGCACCTGTCAGGCTCCCTCCAGCCTGTATAAAGGCCCTAGGAGCTGCTTGTCTCTGTCTTTGATGCTTATTTTCCATGCGAAGCTGGTGGACTTCATGTTGCAGTAAGGTGGCGTTTTGCATGGCCATCACCAATTACTCATTCACAATTCCCAAGCTGTAAGGCTTTGGCATTGCTTGCCTGAGTCTCTGAGCCACATATAACTTTGGCTGTGGATATCATGCCCATCTGAAATCCAGTTTAATCCATATTGTAGATAGCTTGCTGAAGGATTCCATATTTTTCAACAGCATCATGGAAATGCTTATACCACCCCATAATAAGCTCTGGATCTTCACATTTGGCATGCTGGTAGTCATATTTTCAGCTGTATTTAGAGGAGAGTTCATCATAGCATCAAATATACCAGGTCACCCAACACTCGCCCACATAGGCAGTCTGGGAGGATAGCCATGCAAGACAGTAACAACTGTGCCAAAGAGCATACAGTAGAGATTTGTAGAGGTAGGCCATACTGGCCCATATCAATAATCCATTATGAGAGCGTCTTTTCTTCAGTAGGTGTCAATTTTCAGTGATATGGCAACTGATTCCTTGCCACATTTTTGAATTAAAATATTAATTTAGAATCTGTAGTCTAAGAGACTACGCTTGACCCTGAAGGCCTGGGTTTGTTATTTGCAAGGCATGAATGAGTATTAGGCAGCCTAATATTATATGAAAGAAGATTGCTTTATCAGTTGCTCAACCAATTATCTGACCATTTAGGCCAGTGGCTTGTATATCCTATATAAATAAGCTAATAGTAAAATATATAGAAATCATATTCATAAGACTTAATGCTTAATATATAGGTTCTAGTGTATTCTAATAAGACTGTCTTAATCTAGTGTCCAAAGTGAGCCCTCAATTTTCTTATCTATATCTCTAGCTTTATACAGGGTTTTTTAAATTCTTATATCGCTATTTACAGATTTGCCTGCTGTGCAATTTAATTATAGAATTTAGTATATCTACATAGACTGTTTCTAACTAACATGGTCGGTAAGCAAGCGATGCACCATCCAACCAAATCTCACCCAACCACCCTAATCATTTTTTTGATCGCCTACCATGCCACCAAATCGCTCTCAATACTCTCAAAAATCAATCAAGCAGGAGTGTAGGGTCTTATTAGCTATTGACGCTATTCAGAAAGACCAAATTGCTTCTGTGCGCGAAGCAGCGCGCCAATTTAGCGTGCCTGAGGCTACGCTCTACTGCCATCTAGCTGGCCATACCAATTGCCATGATATGTATGGGCGCAAACAACCACAAATTGACTGAACCTGAGGCGTATATGCTTCTTCAATGGATTTTGTCAATGTATTCACATGGCGCAGCGCCTGGCCCTACTGCTGTTCAAGAAATAGCCAATATTTTGCTTGCTCAGCGCAGCCAGATCCCTCTGGAGACTGTTGGTCAAAAATGAGCATATAATATCACTCAGCGCCAACCAGAGATCAAAGGGCGCTATAGTCATTGATATGACTATCAGCATGCTAAAAATGAAGACCCAGTGATCATTCAGCAATGGTTTAATCTAGTGCAAGAAACAATCATACGATATGGTATTGCATCTGAAGATTTATATAATTTCAATGACAGGTTTTGTTATGGACCTCACTGCTGCTACTGCTAAGGTTATCACACGCGCTGAATACTATGGTTGATGACCTACTGTTGAACTGGCGTATCAATATCTCACCCAATGGATGGACTACTGATCAGATTGGTCTATCTTGGCTAAAAGATCACTTTATTCCATTGACTAATAGTCGAATCACTGGTGATTAACAGCTATGATCCTCATTAAACCCCAATTCAACCCAAATATGCAAGCAAAACAAGATTATACCAATCTGTATGCCAGTACATGCGTCTCATCTATTACAGCCACTAGATGTAGGCCGTTTTGTGATTTTAAACGCGCCTATGGCTATTTGGTTGATAAGCAGATGCGCTGCGGATTCAACCATATCAACAAGCTTGACTTCCTTGCTGCCTACCCAAGCGCGTGTTCATCAGACACAAATCCCACCCCCAAGGGGGTGGGTAGAGCATGCATAGTCTTAGACTGGAAAATGCTCTATAAAATGGAAGACATCATCATCATCATCATCATCATCATCATACCCAAGCGCGTGTGCAGAGGCCTATAAATTAGTTAGTATCCAAAATAGCTTTGCTGCTATAGGTATAGTGCCATATAGCCCTGATCGGGTGCTCTCAAAGCTGAATATTCAGCTAAAAACACCACAAAACCAGCGCCAATTATATCAACAAGCATCTTCCATCAAAGCTCTATACAATCGAAGCAGCAATAGCCCCCCAGGCAGGGCGTTAAACCAGAGCTGATCAAGGGTTCCCAGCTAGCTATGCAGGCCAGTGCGATGCTAGCGCAGGAAAACAAGGATCTACGTGTGGCGAATGAGAAAAAGAAGCAAAAGCGAGCTAGATCTGAGAGACAGATCAATTACTAGGGTGGTTTATCAGTGGAAGATGCTCAGCAGGTGATTCAGGGCCTAAACTAGCCTCCTGAAGTTGAGATAGACCCAGATGGCAGCGGCTGCGCTGGCTAGGCGAAATAGCCAGCGGCCAGCACGCTGGCCACCAGCGTGTAGTCTATGTGGGACTGTAGGGCATAATATTAACCAATGTCCTAGTAGATAACTGAATGAATTTAATGGCGTTGGTGGTTAATAAAATCGATTCCAATTTATGTGGTGTGGCCAGGTGCGTCGCTCGCTTGCCGACCACGTTATAACACCGGAACAATTATGAAATCATGACTTTCAGCCCTCTATAATTATATTTAATGGTTTTAATAGAAGAGTAAACCATAAAATTAATATAAGCCTTATACCTCTCAGGGAGACAGAGATTATAAGACATATAAGAATATATTGGCTAAGGATTATTGGACTGGCCCCGGCCCCACGCTGGTAAGTGGGGATGGGTCTTGGTGGTTAGACCCTCTATAATTACGAGAAATGTCAGAG